TAAAAAAAAATAAATAAAGGAAGATAATATGTATGGGCGATAGATGTTTAATAGGAAAGAAGGGGCAAACCACACAACACCGCCTGACGACCACTCACAAGTAAAAGTAATACAGAATGAAACAACACAGGAAAAGTAGAGACGTAAGATCTACGAGTAGCACAGTGTAAAGGGGAATTGAAGTTGTTAAGAATTGAGCTAAAAGGCGAGGTTTCGATTAACGGGGCTTTGCATTATGATTTAAGACTGGTTATATTATAGACCTTTGTGTAAGACAATATCAACAATGTCCATCATCATTAACCCGGCTCCTCTTTGACCACGCCCCCTCCCGCCCCCCACTTAAAAAAAAATTCTATTTTGGCCATACACATACACACACAGTTTTAGTTTGGTTTTAGTGAGAGGTTTACGGTTCTTGCAACACAAATAAGTCATATATGTGCCAAAGGAAAACATGAAAAGAACAGAAGGAGGAGAGATAAGAACGACTGATGTTCAGTAGGAAAGAAGGAGTAAACCATGCCAAGACTCTTTCGGCCCTCAAACCGCCGCTCCGCATTGTTGTTTTTGGCAAAGTTAACCCGACTGCTAGGGGAAAGATGACACCATGTATGAACTTAGAGTTTCCTGCTTTTGGCTTGTAAATAATTATTGACTATAGCATAGTCTTATCACTTGCTTCAACATTTTGAGTTTGTTCAAGGCTGCTAAACCTCTGATTTCAAAATCTGTCTTAAATAGAACCAAGCCAAGTACTGTAGGCAGAGTGTCTTAATCTTGCCCCACCCTTCCCCGAGCAGTCTTATCTTCATTTGGGGATTCGAACCTTGGTCATCCGCATCATAAACCTCATGATGTTTTTAGTTTTAGCTTTGGTAAAAGTTTTTACCTCATTCTAACACACATAGGTCATATAAATGCCGAAGATTAAAGGTTTTACTAAAAAATAACACACTCAGATTATAAGAAAGAGATAGACGATAAATGTATGACTGGACAGAAGAAACAAATACCACCAGAGCACCTGCCAACCTCTCACTTTGCACGATGTCAACTGAGCTAACATAGCTCTTTATTTTTGGTTGTACACAAAGCAATTCCCGTAAGGCGAAATCCGAAGCACTGTAGGAATTTAAAAGAAAAGTTAACTACGGTTTTAGCAAACATGTTCTAAAAATTAATTAAGAGGGATAAAAGCATTGATAACGTCAACGGTGAAGGGAACCAGACAGTAGCAGATTAAGCGTCACTCATAACAAGTAGGCGGAAGATAACTGCTGATATGTCAGGAATGACACTAATTAAGAAAACAAACTGAGGAACAGCTATTGTTTTAAAAAGTTGTCAAACTACTGCTGGGCATTTATTTTTTTAAAGACGCTAAGTGATAAGGTAGCAGCCTTAAATTTTGCTAATTACGAAATTCTAGTGGGGGGGGGGGGGGGTACATAATTTTCAATGCTAAATAATATGGACTTGAAGATTTTCATAGGATTTTGCACACTTTGAATGTTTTCATGGACATGACATGCCGGAGATTGAAGTACGGGGAAAGAACCCAACAATAATATGTCAGTATTGTAGTAACGAGTTTGATTTGTCCGGTCTCATTTTGAGCTTGAGTTTTAGTACAAATTTTACGGCACTTGAAAAACAAATAAGTGATATACGTGATAAAATTGCAGGTGATATTAGAGAACAATATACAAAGAGAGGAAGGACGATAGATGTTTAAAAGAAAAGAAGGAGCAAACCACACCAGATCACCCACCAACCACCCACTAAGCTTGAGTAATAAAAAGCATACTGATACGATAACAAGTATTTATTTTGGTGTTGAAAAAATAAACAAACCCAAAAGACTCGGAAAACTGTCAGAACTGAAAACACATAAAAAATAAAAAATGAAAACAATAAACATCTGGGAAGAAGTATTAGGCAATTGACCATACGTTTTGGGTGCGCACTCTGGGTCCTACAGAACGCACAGCTTTAAAAAAGTAAGCATCTTTCAAATGCAACATTTGTGTCATTCAACACAGGTAAAGGTCTTCAGTTTTAGGGAAAGTTTTGCGGCACTTCACTCACAATAAGGTCATATAAATGCAGAAGATTACAAGTATTTAAGGAGAGTAACAAGCAAAAAAGAGAAGGAGGATCAATTATTATGTTTGATAGGATAGAAGGAGCAAACGGCACCAAAGCACCTGCCAACAACCTGCAGGTAAAGGTCTAGTAAAGTTATGTTCTCTTTCTTTGACATGGTAAAAGAGTGGGGAAGAGAAGAGAGAGAGAGAGAGAGAGAGAGAGAGAGAGAGAGAGAAAGAGAGAGAGAGAGAGAGAGAGAGAGAGAGAGAGAGAGAGAGAGAGAGAGAGAGAGAGAGAGAGAGAGAGAGAGAGAGAGAGAGAGAGAGAGGGGGGGGGGGGAGGGGGAGAGAGAGATATGGAAGCGTCAAACTGTTACACCCCTGACACAGGTATTTCTGTTTCTCCAAAATGGATTTACGAATTCATCAACCCCACAGCTAGATAGACACCAGTTTATTGAAACATTTCTGTAAATTTATCAGAAGGGACGATTATATTCAGAAGTTTTGTCAGCGATGATTACGCTATATAGATTTTCCACTCTGATTCCGAATCTTCAAGGCTATAGAAAGTTTCATTAGACAGGTTGTCACTCTCAAGAAAACCAGTGAACTGTGACTGTGGTTGGCGAAGACGTCTTAAAGCCCCGCCTAAAACCTTTTTTCCCTCTTGGGTTTAGAATTCAACGATTCTCGTGATCTTTTGGACGACCTTTAATATCATCTCAAGGTCAGAATCTTTCATGTCAAGCTGATCCACCACGGAAAGAGTTTACGTCAGAGCTGCGTAACTTGATTTTATTTTGGGTTAAAGCCAACGAGTCAACAACTCTGATTGACGTGGGTGCATGATACCATATTATTATTATTATACTATTGTGTGCTGCAGTGTACTTGTGCAGAAACCCAAAGGAGGATTTTGAAATAAAAACAAATGTATTTACTTTGTTTTACAAGCCCTGCTTGTAGTGGGGGGAGTGGGAGGTTGCCCAAATAGACAGCATTTTGTGGAGTTGGTATAGCCTGAAAGGGGAATATGGGCTTTACCAATGAACCAATTGTCATAGAGGAAATGTTCACGCTTTTTAAGACGATCGAGGAATCATGAACACGTTGCTATCTTCAGATAGCTTCGGCAAAAGGAAAATGGTACAGTCGTAGATGAAGATCTGCCTTGAGAATGCGGACCGTTGAGATGTAGGAAAGTCATTGCCGCAGATCTCCTCTACGAACAGACGTGTCATGGGGCTCATCCACTGAGTTCTGCACCCTAGTGACTTTTAAAAGGGTGCGAACGGTGTGTGTTTGACCTGAAGTGGTCGTTTTGTCAGGAGAATTTTTAGTTCTGATTCTCAAAAGGTCCTAACTGATAGACCATTTCTACCCTTGACATCAAAGAAGGCCTTAAGGGCACTTTAACATTATTCCCATGCCTTGTGCGAAACTTACGAAATGAGTTGGTGGTGAGGAAATGTTCAATACACAAAGCTCTCTACCCTTTACTAATCTAGCGCTTATCCATGATCTCAATATGCAAATGAAAGTTGAGAAAAACTCTCCGCAAATTTCTGTTAGCTTGTAAGACTACTATCTGTACTTTGCAATATGGCACAATCGTTGGGATTTTTAGTGGTAGGCCTAATGCGAAATTGTGCTTCATGCTGCAAGGGGACATAGCTAAAAATAAGTTCTTTTTTTACACGCGATGTAAAGCAAAACTATTCTGTGGATTTATCTATAATAAATATATCAGACAAATTCCTTTTGACTTCCAATATGATGTGTACAAATTTGAAGCACAAAACCTCAGTGTGGAGGAAAATAACTAAAAAAGTTGTACTGTTTTTTTTGGATCACCCTATACATAGATAGATAGATAGATAGATAGATAGATAGATAGATAGATAGATAGATAGATAGATCGATAGATCGATAGATAGATAGATAGATAGACAGATAGATAGATAGATAGATAGACAGATAGATAGATAGATAGATAGATAGACAGATAGATAAGATAGATTCATCTCGAACTTAATACTTAATATTACAATGAGTTATATCTTCGACAGTTAGGACTTCTTACCTTTTCTCGGAAATCGTGACCATATTGTAGTTTCTCCTCTTGGTTCTGAGGAAGAGAAAAACTCATAAGGTTGACATAATACGATAATATTGAAATAACACTCCAGTGTTTTCCATGTTAAAATTTTACCATGACCAAGTCTGGGTGTTTATGACATTTCTGATCATGATTCCCAACTTTTTGCGTTTATGCAACTTGAATTGCAATGTTTTACGTCCACATCTGTATGTGTGTGTTCCTGGAGAAAGGTCCCAGTCAGAGGCGAAGCGTCTATATAATCAAATAATCACTGCTTCCCTTCCTAATTTTGAAACATTGTCGCAGTCAAATTCACCCATAAACGTAAACTTCATAAATTAAATGTAAAAAGACGTTCATCATCAATTATGAACAGTATGCCTAACATTCTAAACAGTTTCATTGCCACAGAAATAGCCTGTTCACCCCTCTTGGGCCAGTCCATAAGCAGTCACAAGCTTTGATCAAGTACGCTTAAAGTGAGACTGGAAGAGTCTTCCCACTGAGTTGAAGGGAACATGTGAATAGCAGTCGAAACTGTTTCATTGCCACATATACCCTGGTTGTTAAAATAAACATTAAGCTTCCGAGTTCTTTATGGGAAAATGTATTGATCTCAGCTAAAGATAATCAGATAAACATTACCACATAATTTTATGCAGTGCAGTCTACAAAGATGTACTGTTATATCGCCGTTCTGTTGTGTTTATTTCCTTCGCAAGGGGTGTTTGGTGGGTGCTCTAGTACAGTTTGCTCCGTCTTTCCTATCACATATCTATCGTCTTTATCTCCCCTCCTTCTTATTTTATGTTTGTTACTTTCTTATAACCCATTTACTGTTCCGTACTTATATGATCTAATTGTGTTGCAAATGCCGTAAAACGATATCGAAAGCCAAACATTTCCTTCACGTAGGAACATGCTATCCAAGCACCCTGATGAGCTCCAGAATGCACTGACGTGCGACGAAAGTGGCGTAACATACTATGACATAACGGCCACATGATGTGCTGAATACATTTCGTGTCATTATCGTCACTCGTAATGTTGAAGTGGCCTAGAAGGATGAGTACTCTCTCTCTCTCTCTCTCTCTCTCTCTCTCTCTCTCTCTCTGTCTCTCTCTCTCTCTGTGTCTGTCTGTCTGTCTGACTGTCTGTCTGTCTGTCTGTCTGTCTGTCTGTCTCTCTCTCTCTCTCTCTCTCTCTCTCTCTCTCACACACACACACACACACACACACACACACACACACACACACACACACACACTCTCTCTCTCTCTCTCTCTCTGTATGTACTAAGTGAAGAATAGCAACAGTTTTGAAGTCTGTACTTGATACATTTCTTCTAAATGTGGAAGCTATATCAAGAAACCCAAATATAACTATACAGGTGCTGATAACTTCGGCTTTTCAGCTATCAAATAAAACTAACGGGCAATAATAACACATGATAATTAGAAATTAATGGATTATTTCCCCTTCAACGAAATGTATTTCCCGTTTAACAAATCTTCTCTGTCAATGTCCAGAGGGAAAACACGTATATATAATATACATATATATTATATATAAAGTTAATATAACGCATTTACTCGAAATACACGATTTCGACTTTAAATCTGAGATCAATTTCAAAATATGAATTTATAGGTCATTTCATCGGAACACAGAATGTGAGTCTGAAGCGGGACAGAACTTTGTTACTATCGTATATCGCGTTACTGGGCTATACAGCTATTACCTGTTTAATTTCCAACTGAAAGGCTTTGCGTGCTGGACAGTGTGAACAGAACAGCAGAACACTGCTTGGATTTCCACTTTTGTCAATTTACTTACACTTACTGAAGGTTGCAGCCTTAGCTGTGTATAAAAGCCCGCCGCACACGAATAAAATAAATGTTGTCTTGTCGCACGGCTGAGTATGCAAATGAGGCAATTTTCTGGTCCATTTTCTGGTTCACGTTGTAATCGCGCTCAATTATAGAATCGATACTTCCAAAAATATTTGCCTGTCTGATTACGTGATACAATTTTACTGTATTTGGAATGACAATTACAATTATTGGAAGTATCGATTCTGTGATAAAGCGCGATTTAAAAATCGGCCAAAACGGTTTCTCCCCAATTTTAGTAATTCCTCTCTCTTCATCGCCACCTGCCAAGTGTCGCCATTCTTTAAATCCGAGCGACGAGCAACGGGTGGAAATTTCCTAAGTGTGGGCTGAACTTTACACAGTATAACAGATGCACACATTTCCAGTTTTGAACCACTTTTATCATTGTGACGAACCTTTGAGTAAAAATATTTTGAAATGGCTGTAGGCCAAATATGACGAATTCAACCTGCTAAAAACAAATGCTTTCGATTCTTTCTTTAAAAAAATCAAGTCACAAACGTTTCTCGTCGCACTTGGTTTGCACTTCTTGTCCTAAAACAGAATATTTCAGGGCAGCGATAACAATTGTATAACTCTTAGTACCCTGGGGCGGCTTGTGGGGCTAAAAAGCGGACATGCACAATTAAGCGTCGCAGGCTGAAGATAGCCAAGGGCATAATACATGAGATGGTCACCTCCTATGAGTTGTGCCTTTGAATTGTTTTGTAGTGGAGTGGTGAAAGTTGTTATTTGAGTTGTCCCTTCCAGTGCAGGATAAAGGAATTGATGTTTAGCGAACAAACAGATTTAGTTCTAGAAATCAAAGCGACAAGTAAAAAGAATGAAAATAAAAGCATAAGGTCTTCCTTCACCAACCCAAAGATCCTACCATCCCATTTACTATGCCCTTGAGTAGCTTCAACCTGCTATAGCTGAATTGTGCACGCCCACTTTTTAGCCCCACATGCCGTACCAGATGGGGATACTAAAAAGTATCCGATGCTGTGTTCTTGGGAATGGCACTATACACGCATTTCCAATTTGGTTCGGTCCTTTCGGAGACAGACGTTAATCTCGGAGGTCCTGCCTCTGAAATAATCTTATAGCATTGATAGGGGCGTTAAACGTGCACCAGTTATTCCAATTCACAGATCGGGAGCATGAATTTGCATTTTTCATAGTATGCAAGTTGCCTGCCTCTTCAAGTCTCATATGAAGGAAAAAGAATAATAATTGAAAAGGAAGAATAAACTTATTTTATAAGTTTCTCAAAACAGCACCTTTACAAACATAGTCGGATAATCGGCATGCTGATCCTCAATAAAGTTTGGTGTAACGCGTTCTTGGTGCAATGTATGCTTTATTGTGATGCGAAAGCGCGGTGAAAATATGGGGCGAGAGAACCTTGAGTTATTTGTATGAATAACTGGCCTTGTCCGAGAAGGCTAGGTGTAGATCTTTCCTAGCAGAAGATCAAGGGTGTGGCTGAAAGACAGCAGTAAGAAGGAGCCCAGTCGTAGCAGTAGAAAGGCTGCACATCGACGCAGTAATGGTTATTTAATGCTGGGAAAACATAAGAAAGAAAAAAACGACAGAAGGAAAGCAATAAAGTAGGACCCGACCTCCAACTCCCCGCTAACCCAGAGTGAGAGTGAGGGAACCAAAGACTCCTTTTCGGATCTAGATAAACAATAATTAAATTATAGTTCAAATTTTATACCCCAATCGACACATTTTGGTTTTTTTTTAAATTTTAATTTATTTGGGTAAAACGTTTTACAATATGGTAGGACATTTTGAATTTTGCCCGGATGGCGGCCGAAGCCTACTGTTATCGATTTTAGATCCAAGGGATCTTTTGTTTGTTTTTGTAAAGTGTTTTACGGCACTCGCAACTGCATAAGGTCTTATGAGCGCGCAGGACACACCTAATATTTTCAGTTGGTAGGAATTTTTGAATTTTGCCTGGATGGCGGTCGAAGCCTACTCTTATCGATTTTAGACCTCCAAGGGATCTTTAACGTGCCCCACTTGAACACGGGACCTCTGAGATTAGTCGGCCTTGTCCGAGAAGGCTAGGTGTAGATCTTTCCTAGCAGAAGATCAAGGGTGTGGCTGAAAGACAGCAGTAAGAAGGAGCCGAGTCGTAGCAGTAGAAAGGCTGCAGAAAGAGTCAGGAGCCCAGAAAAAGGAGCGAAGGAGGTGGAAGCAGAAAGTGGAGACGAAAGCAGGCGACAGAATATTTCTAGAGAGAAGAAAATGTTTCTGTCTCAACTCGGGTTCGAACCCGGGGCCTTTGAATGAGAGGCGAACACCTTAACCTCAAGTCCACGAGAGCCCCCACAGTCTAGGAGATGTACTGCTTTGACCTTGTCTGCCAGGGCCAAGGGGCTGAGAGCACAGAATATTCACGTATATGTATATTTAGTAGGCAACAAAGAGAGAGAGAGAGAGAGAGAGAGAGAGAGAGAGAGAGAGAGAAAGAGAGAGAGAGAGAGAGAGAGAGAGAGAGAGAGAGAGAGAGAGAGAGAGAACGCTCTTCTATCCCATCTACTTGCTTAGCTGGAAACAGTAGCGGCAGTACAGTGCTAGGTGACGCGAAAGCTGGTAAAAAAAATCGGCAACAGTCCTTTTGACGGTCTACGTGATGCTTCTGTTCTACTTGACGGTCTACCAATGGACCAGTCTGACAATTCTGGGGTTTTTTTTTTTCACTTGGAAGTCTACTTATCTATTACATTCAATAATCCTGACCCACATCTTAACCCTATCCCGTGGGTGGTTGGCGGGTGCTCTGGTGTGGTGTGTTTCTTCTTTCCTATGAAACTTCTATTTTCCTTATCTCCCTTTCTTCTTTTTTATGTTCGTTACTCTCTTGCAACACCTCTAATATTCTGGCGCTCATATGACCTAATGGTAGTTGCGAGAGCCGTAAAAGCTCTACTAAAACTAAACTAAACGTATCCCTAACTCTAACCATAACCCTAACGCATACCCTAGCCCTTGGTCGAAGCCCAAGCCTTAGAAAAATCCAAACCTTAGCTCTAGGACTAAGCCCAAGCCTTAGCATAACCCAAACCCTAGCTCTAGGTCTAAGCCGAAGCCTTAGCATAATCCAAACCCTAGCTCTAGGTCTAAGCCCAAGCCTTAGCATATCCAAACCCTAGCCCAAACCAACTGACACATTATAGGTAGACCGTGGTCAGTCAGGTTGATTGTCAAGTGGACTGGCATCTAAAAACCCAACACATTTGCTCACATACAACGTTGTACCAATTTATTGCGAGAGTCATACATATATGTACCTTCATTACTTGTATCTTAATATTAAGACGTACAATAACGTACCAGAATTCAAAGTTGCTGTTACTTCTGTTTACAAACATAGAGCTGTTATCAGCTATATATTTATAAAACAGTGACCGCCTAGAAAACAGTGACAGAGTTATGATTACTACAACTTTATGAACAGAAACGACAAATAATAAATGAACACGGAAATACAGCATTGATGATATAATTTCCATGGCGGTTTTGTTTTTTACATTAAGAATTCAAAGAATCCACTTAAGAACTGCACTCTTAATTCAAAAGTATTGTCTACGTCTTTTGAGACCTTCATTTTTTAATTTTATTTTGTTATTTAAAAAATGTTTTTTGGGGCAAATGTTTTACGGCGCTCGCAACTGCATAAGGTCGTATGAGCGCTCGGGACACACCAAACATGTTTAGTTGGTAGAACATTTTGAATTTTGCCCGTGTGGCGGCCGAAGCCCACTCTTATCGATTTTAAACCACCAAGGGTTCTTTAACGTGGCGTCGGTGGCCTCGTGGTTAGGCTCTCGGACTCGCAACCGTAAGGTCGTGGGTTCGAATCCCGTCAGGGGCCCGACGTTGTGTCCTTGGGAAAGGCACTTTACATGAATTTTCCTCACTTCACCCAGGTGGGAATGGGTACCCGGCTATAGACAGCGAAAGTCTTGTCAGTTTGTTAGTGTTTGAGCGCTTAATCAGCTTCTTGCACTGTATGCTTCCCGGGAAGCTGAGAAAGTTTCGGAGCGTTCTATGGTCCCCTGGGGTAATAATATAGTGTAAATCGCATAGAGCCTGCTGTTGAGCGGGGATGTGCGCTATACAAATGCTGTTTATTATTATTCATTATTATTATTAACGTGCACAACTTGCACATGGGACCTCCGAGGTTTTTTGCCCTTGTCCGAGAAGGCCAGGTGTAGATCTTTCCTACCAAAAGATCAGAGGTGTGGATGAAAGACAGCGGTAAGAAGGAGCCAAGGAGTATTAGTAGAAAAGCTACATAAAGAGACAGGAGTCCAGAAAAGGGGGCAGAGAAGGTGAGGGGGTGGGGGCAAAAAGTGGAGACGAAAGCAGACGACAGAACATTGCTAAAGAGCAGGGAAAGAGGTGAAAGGAGACAATTTTTTAGAAGAAAATGTTTCCGTTGCTAGCTACCCGGATTCGAACACGGGATCTTTGAATGAGAGGCAAACACCTTAACCTCTCGGCCACGAGAGCCCACATTGTTTTGTTGTGCATAAGTGAGATGATCAAACTATAAGCTGTAGTTTCATCCAGCACGAACTGTTCTAGTCAAGAAAATTTCAATTTACGATCAAATGCACAGAATGAATATTGCATGCATTGTATGCCCGTCATAAGTACTTGCGTTTCTGAATTTATAAAGGAGTTATATGAGGCTATACCACTCATGTGCGAATGTGTGAGTGTGTGCACGCGTAAGTGTGTGTGTGTAAGAATGATAACCTGGAAGAAGAGAAGGATAAGAAACGGAAAGTACCTTTTATTCCCGTATTTCTATTTAGAGAATTGTTCATTGAAGGAGACAACTCAAATTACTGTTCAAGATTTTAACATAAATTGGCCTTTGTAAAAAATACCGTGTATTTTAAAGTAGATGATAATACGTGCATTGTTTCTACTGAATCTAGTATATTTTGTAGAACATTTTAGATGTCATAAAAATCAGAAAACAATTAGAAAAAAATTCAATGTACATGAAAGGAAGCTTAGTTGTCTTTATAACACAATAGTCTCTCTGTCTCTCTGTCTGTCTGTCTGTCTGTCTGTCTGTCGCTCTGTCTCTCTTCTCTCTCTCTCTCTCTCTCTCTCTCTCTCTCTCTCTCTCTCTCTCTCTCTCTCTCCCTGTCTGTTTGGCTGGCTGTCTCTCCTTCACTCTTCTTCCCCTCCCTTCTCTTAACCCTTCCTACGCCTCCTTGTCACTCAACCATATCTCTCCATCCGGTTCCATCTCTCTCCCTCCATGTTTCTCTCTCTTTCTCTCTTTCTCTCTTTCTCTCTCTCACTCTCTCTCTCTCTCTCTCTCTCTCTCTCTCTCTCTCTCTCTCTCTCTCTCTCTCTCTCTGTCTCTAAAATATACACACACAGTGAGAGTGTGCGAACATGCAAAAAAGATACACACATGCAGCACACTAGAAAACATGTACTATCTCATAATTTATATACTCATGCCATTAACAGTAGTATGCCAAATTTAAAAAACCACATTGTTTTTGTATTGGATTTGTTTTGGTCTGTAACATTACGAAAACTGTATACGTATCCAATCTTTCATTTGTTTCTCCTAAAATATTATGTGCTATCCTATTGATTGTAAGCATCCTTCAACGTCATGGAACATTCTTACGATTATGAGAGGAACAATGAAAAAAGAAACCAAGAGGAAAAATGGAACACACCCTGAATTGAAACACTTATACATGTAACAATTACAGAAACGATCTTATTCATTTGTAAAATCTTTTGGTCATATTGCCTTACTCATTTCTGTGTGCACCTATTCAAGTTTATGTCGCACATGGCATCTGGTGGAGTACAAGGTATCTATAATATTTCTCTTCTCACACGTGAGATTTAAAACTCGTAGCGGGTGTGTTAAAATTACTTTTCGAAGTCAACAATTGTCTTGCTTCGAGCTATATAAATCCTAATTACTAGTGAAATAAATTATCAGTTATCATCAAGCTAAAGTTTCTGTAGATACTAAGCGCTCATGCGGATGATTTCAATCCGTAAGTTTCAATATAGCCTTCATGCTCCCGAGTGCATATTATATTCATTCATGCGAACACACACTATTTTCACGCTAAAACGAATGCATACGTTTCCATGTACACACTTCTACTTGGTACAAAACGATTATATCTTTCGACCGGATTAACACAAATATCTTAAAATCCTTTCGGTATTCCTCCCTTGCGGTAGTCCGCTGTTCCCACAATCGAGCCGTCGTCTCGCACATAGATGGCCTGCATCACGGATTTGCCAAACTGCTCCTGGGTGGTGTGACCTTTGGCCTTCAACCCATCTGCAATAACCTGAAATAAGTAAAGGTGTTTTAGCTTAAATTTAGTATTTCGCTTTAAAGTACTTGCAAGACAACAAATCATGTAAGAGCTGAAGATTAGAGGATAGATGTAAGATAGAAAAGAGGAGGAAAAAAGATTAAACTACACCATAGTGCCGGCCAACTTCTCACTGGGAAACCTGTCAGGGAAAATGTGTTTAAAGCAAAAACAACAACAGCAACAACAAAACAAAAGAAAAGAAAAAAAGAACCAAAACCGGTTTGAACAAAACACTGGGAAGCTTGGAGGAAGTCCGAATAACTCCAAGCTTTTGTTTGAGAATACAGCAACAGCAAGTTGCTTATATTTTATCCATTACCTTGCTGAACGTTGTCTCCAGCTGTACAGCAGGGGGTACGAGCTGGTGGTGAAGTCTTGGCTTGTCTATGGATTCGGGCAAGGACATGCCCAGCCACAGGACGTCAATGATATTCTGGAGAGAAATAAGAGGAGAATATCATTACAACAATTCGTTTGAGATGGGAATATTAGGTATATGATTTGGTATCTCTTTCTTTCTGTCTTTCTCTTTTATATCATCATCATCATCCGAACACTATATAACTCCCTAACCCCACCCCCATTCTGCAGCTGTACAGGAACAGTTGCCATTACCACCTCGATCTCGAACTCACTCACCAAAGCAGTAGCAGTCGTGATCTTGCTCCCTCCGGCACCTCCAGAGACCATCTTGACCCTCTGCTCGTTGTTGTCCCACACTATGGCCGGACACATGGAGGACATGGGACGTTTGCCTGGTTGGATGAAGTTGGCAGGAGAGGCGGGCAGGCCAAAGTAGTTGACAGTTCCAGGGGTGGAGAAATCGTCCATCTCGTTGTTGAACACGATACCAGTCCTCGAGCCGCGGACCTTGCTTCCGAAACTGGGTTTGTGTTTTGAGTAACGAGAAGCATATTATTGATATTATAAGGATTAGTTTGACCAGTAAAAAAGCAAGTCAGACAAAAGGAAGCCTTTAGAGACTGAGTTTCTATTTTGATAGAAGAGAAACTTATTCATACAATAAGAGCTGTTTAGTGCTTAGAAAAAGCACGACAGACAGAAAGAAGACAGACTTTCGAAACCCGGTTTGTATTCGAGTATAGACAAGCACATTATAATAACAGACATTTACTGCTTGAGTGACGGGAAGCATAATATGATAACAATTAGTTAGGCCGGGAAAAAAGGCAGACTTTTAAAACTGGGTTTGCACTTTGAGTAAAGAGAAGAACGTTGCTATAGTAACAGCCATTTAGTAAGCTAAAAGCAAGACTGACAGGCAACCAGAAAACATATTTTTGACAGTGTATTTTAAATGAAATAATGCATATTGATACAATAACGGCACGCCATTCAGGGATGAAAAAAAGAAAGACAGACAAACACACGACATACTTCCGAAACTTGGTTTTCATTTTGAATAAAGAGATGCGCGGAGATTCAATAACAGCCATTTAGTTCTTGGAGCAAACAGTAAAGACAGGCAGAGGACAACAACAACATTGAGAAAGAGAAGAAATAGGGCCTGCTTGTAGCATCTTCGTACTACACACGTCAAATGTGTAGAATAAAATAAGATATAACACCGATCATTGTTACTGGATGTAGTCAGTGCTATAGTATTGGTATGGATATTATTTTTTGCATGATAAATTTAGCAGAGAGATAAGTGGCGAACCACGAATATCGTTGTCTACTTCGTCTCTGGCACTAGAAGAATAAGGCACAGTATTGTAGTCGAAGTCATGTCTTTTACGTTTAAGGCGAAGGGCCTAACCAGTTCACCACAGACGCTGGGGCACGTAAAAGCCCGTAGCAATTCAGTATTATTATACAAAACTCTTGTTAAATGAATAAATGGATTGAAAGATATAAAATAAATAATAAATCCCACTCTATGTGACCTCTTAGGAAATTTGTTTTACAGTTGCATACATACATAAATGCATTGATACAAACGTGTATGCATAAAACAAAAGAATGTTTAGAACCATTGTTTAAAAAAAGGCCTTTAACTAACAAAACAAAAAAGCAGACAAGCAGAGACGTGATGACTCACTAAGTGTTAATTGTACTTGTGACGGACACTGCGTTCCCTTCACCATCTATGACGGAGATGTGGGCAGTACCGCTGTCATTGGCCACGGAGAAGGTTGGGTTATAGAAGGTGGTGTCGTGTGTCGTCGCGTCACTGATACGCTGCCTGATCTTCTCACAGTCGGCCAGAGACGTCATGTTGACATAGTTCTGAGACCAAGACATGAAGAACATTAGTGGCTAAATTGGGATATTTTGATACCCTACTATTATATAGGCAAATCAATAAACTTGCAAGAGGACAATTAATTAACCAACCAAGCAATCAACCAATCAACCAACCAACCAACCAACCAACCAATCAACGAAACAACTAAAATGAATGAAGGAATTAATTAATGAATGAGTGAGTGATTGAGTGAAGAAAGGAGGAATGAATGAATGAAAGAATGAATCAATGAATGAATCAATGAATCAATTAATCAATCAATCAACCAATCGAACTGTTATCCATATCGACTGAATTATCATGCTTACCTCTGAATTATCGTGAAAAAGATCATCCCCAAGTTCCGATCTCTTGCCGAATGCAAACTTGAAGGCCTCCACAATACGATGATATGTAAGTATTTCCCCCTCAGTCGTGGCAATATTGCTGGGGTCCATGTTGTATCCTGAGAGTTTAGAAAACAAAGAATATTTCAAGCAAAAGACCGAGAAGGTAGTTAAAGTAAGTAAAATTGTTCCCGCATCCGATTCGGACATTGGGGATTGCTTTGTTAGTTAGACAACTTCCTGGGCCTTCGGCATATTTTGGTATGGTGGCCAGTTCCTTTCCACACCGCCTTTACTTCCCCAACTCGAAGTCAGGTACCCATTACTGCTAGATGAGCAGGACGGGGCGAAAAAAAATCCGTGTCCGAACCGAGGTTTGAGCAGAGGCTCAAGAAGGTAGTTAAAACAATTAATTAATAAAGCTTGAATCAGTAGGAGATTGCATATTGATACAATCAAAGAGACAAAACAGTTGCACAAAAAAAGAATGATTTGAAAAGACGAATAAAACCAGCCAATCTATTTATAATCAAACAAACAGATGAATTGAGACTTTGTGATGCTGAAAGACATCAAAAGTTAGACCCCTGAAGGCTGACTGCAAGCGGGGTTTTTTGTTCGATAACCGCAGACTGTGAACTTGCTTTCATATCAAAAGTAATAAAACTAAGAACTCACCGGATAAAATTCCAAGAATATAGCTGAGGACCAGTCCACTGCCTGGCGGGGGTGTTGAGAAGACTTGATACCCCCCAGGTAGACTCATGTTGGTAGGGGTCGATGGCGTCAGCGTGTAGTTGGCTAGGTCTCCTGCTGTGATTATGCCCCCTGAATATGCACAAAATACAAACAATAATTTACTTACTATTGTGGTTGGAACAGTTGTACTTTTTCGTCTTAAGTAAAATTTTTTTGAGAGATGTACATGTAGATGACTGTAGTTATGTGCGTGTCTTATATTGGAGGGAGTTGAGTTGGGGTGAGTGGATGGGAGTTGTGCCGAAATGCAACTAGTCTTTATATTTTGTTTTGTCATACTTTGTCTATTTTTTGTAAAAAATCAAAACACAATTCCGCCGAAAGTCACAAAAGAATCATGCACGGCAAGTTCCACCATTATAAGATGATAAATAGTCTAGTTGAACTTTTTTTTTTCAATTTATCTCATATGTACTTAAAATGACAAGTGCCATTCTATTAGCGCAATGACGCAATCCTATGTTTAAGGTCCTAGGTGGATGAAGGATATTTAAATTAGTTTTTCTGTCCTATGAACGTGGATGAGCAACTAGCATATTGTGTTTGTGCCTACCATACACCTAACTTGCAATGTTTTTGATTAGATCACTTTATTAGCAAACTGCCAGCTGAGGTTTCGGTTTTATAAAGACACCAACACCAACCCCCATAAAAAACAAACAACACACACAAATGTACCAAAAACAAATCTCGACCCGATCCCCCAATACGACTTCGGCTTACCTTCATCAGCAATGTCACTGACTATATCAGCCGCCAGAGATCCGTTATAGAAGGAGAAAGGGTCATCAGCGATGGTGCGAAATGTCCGGGCGAGTTCTGGCAATTTGATCAAACTACCAGCCGCTTTTGGACTCAGGTCAGGGTTGAAGTATGGCCTGGTATAAACAAACAATAATATATTTTTAAAAAACGTTTCTGACGTAAAAAGTTTCAGTGATTCAGGAAATGATAAGGTTTGTCACACTGCAAAGAAGACGAAAACGTAGGCCACCACTGAACAAACCCGAGATCTCGTGCAATTGGCACAGGGGGACATAGTTTCATAAGGAACAAAAAAACTCGAAAAGGGTTTTTAGAATCTAGTTTTAGTTAGAAGTTAACTAAACTTGCAGTACAAAGAGGTCATATAAGTGCCAAAGATTAGGGATGCTAATAGAGAATATCTTACAGATAAAAGAAGAAAGAAATATTATAAGACAGAGCTCAGTAAAAAGAGATTTGCAATAAAAACAAACGCAGGGGAGAGGAAATTTTGCTTTGCTTTTGTTTTGGTGAGTCTCTGGGCGTGTGTGTGGGGGGGGGGGGGGGGGAGAGGTAGTATTTAAGTTGTTTTGATGTAATGTTCAACTCACTCTTTAACTTCCACCGTTCACTCTATTACGATTGGTGCTTTAATTATGTTAGAGATAGTTAGGTAGTATAGATCAAGCAGCAGCAGCAGCAACAGCAACAGCAGCCACAACAACGCCATCATTTAAAAAAAATAACGACAGACAATGTAACGATAGGAAGAGAGTCGCAAGGTATCAAAATAAAAACAAACAAGCAAAACAAAACGAAACTTTGAAATACAGCAACATAAAACATCAAACAACACTACGAAGAACGCGCAAGAAGTATCACAGAAACACACACACACAATAATAATGATGTGGACTTTAAAAAGACAACAATTGCAAAAAACATCAAGACCGTTGATTATATGTATAGGCAATTAACTTACTTCACTCTCTAACCGACCGAAGACCGTTATTACAGCAACGGAGTTACCGTTCAGTAAATGAAAAAATCAAGGAATAATTAAAAGAATAAAACAAAATAAATCCCCAACAACAAAAAGAACAAAACAAATTTTTAAAAACCCAAAACACACACACACAAAAACCAGTACCATCATGGCCTACACACCACCACCACCACCATCACCACCACCACAACAACAAAAACAACAAAAAGGTCATCGACAACTACAACAATAACAACAGCAACAAAAAGGATAACCTCAACAACGTCGACAGCGACGACGACGACATTATGAAATAAACCCGAACAGATAACAAAAACGTGTTTTACGAGTGAAATTATTACGCAAACTTAGTCTTGTCCGGAATGCTATCAAGCGCATTGTGTGTGGCCTCGGTCAGCGGGACTCCCTCCTCACAAAGTTTGACTGTTGGCATGACCAGACTCTTCCAGGGAACGGTGCCAAATCGTTGGTGAACTTCATAAAGGCCGAGCACCTCGCCGGGAACTGCGACAGCCATTCCACCTGGGTGAAGGAAAAGAGTTGGGTTTTTTTAGTTTTAGTAGTGGTTTTACGGCGCTCGCAGCTGCATAAGATCAAATGAGCGCCAAAAGGTGGATGTCAACAGAGAAGTCCTTACAGGGAATCAG